TATTTTACATGCGTCTATCATGTCATGCAGGTGAATTTTTCCGGTATATCTAAGGTACATGGAGCCCGTAAGTTTGTACGCGAATACCACGGTGATATACGCAAGCATGGTGCATGCTCAAAATGCTGGTACTCAACTATCTATCAGGAATATATATGCTTGCTTTGAATCTTATATCTGCCTATTACCTATGGCTAGACATGTGATCCTTCAATTTTCTTTGGAAGAACTAATTGATTCGGCCTCATTTGACAGTCGCCGTAAGACTTTTTCCCTCAACAAAGAGCTAAGCTGGTCGTATTGCTTGACCCGACCCATGCATTTGTCGCTATCCACCGCCGCCATCTCTAGGCATGCCCTTGCCCACCGCATGTGAGGGGATCTGGTTGCCCCCTCCCCCCCCCCCCCCCCCCCAGTGGCGTTTGATCTGAGGCCCGGCGCCAGAGACGGGGAACTGCGTTGTAATATAGCTCGTTTTCCATAGGTGGCCTAGACTGGCCGGCCGGATGCACCGCGTCTCTCGCTGTGAAATAATCGGCTGACGCTGGTCCATCAGTGCCACAGGACCGCCGACTGCTCTTGCCTGCTGTTGACGGAACGTGGCGGTGCGCGGTCACTACCGGTCCTGTCGACACAAACTCAGCGTCCAGCGATGCTGTGGCGCCGGGTGGAACAGAAACAGAGACAGTCGCCAGCGCGCAGCACCATTTAGATGACTTCATCCGGTGCTTGGAGCACCGGATCAGGACTGGTCCGGGCTGGGCTGTGTGGTCAAAAGGCGCCGACCCATTCTTGGCCACCGGAGCACGTCGAACACAGCAAGCCAGCAGTCTATGTTGCGTGGCGCTGTTCCGGGCCGCAGAAGGAACGTCCCCACGTCGGCATCCAGTCGTCAGCAACGGCTCCCGCCGCTCTACATGCCAGCAGAACAGAGGGCGTATGGCGTCTGACCGACCAGCCAAAGCGGCCAGGACCACTGAGCCTGGCTACAGCGCCGGAGATGGCCGTGTGCTTTGTGCGGATGTTGTCTCCCAGTGGAAGCGAGTGTCGGCTTTCGCGCTTTTAGCGCTCTCAACCTGTCATGGCGGCGGCGGCTGCTCGCGCGCGCTTTTACCGTTCTTGACCTGTCACGAAATGACCGACTATCATCCTTCGCCTTGACCACACGACGGCGGTTGATAGCCGGTTGTTTCGTCTCGGATAGGGGGCTTCAATTTCCCTTCATTGCACTTTTGCACCGATCTGAGCGGCCGATAAACATCCTGATAATGGTGATGTCGCTGTTACAAATAAGCGCAGACGGTTTTTCATCTTGTGTTGGATTTGCGAACCACCGTTGCGAAGGTTGGAACCCTTCAGACTAACGATCCAGCTTCAGCAATGGCCTGGATATACGACGCACTGGTTGGGGACAGCGTGACCTAGGCAAGGTATAGAAAATCACCGTAATGAAGCCTTGTGTTGTACGTTTTAACAAGCAGAAAGGAAAACCTTGTTTTTTGAAATGCACATGGCCACGGCGTGCAAGGTCCCAGGTCCCATGTCAAAATCTGCACAGCACTGTGCCGGCTGCCCCCAAAACCGCAGTTCTATCGCTGAAATATTTTTTACAGGACTGTGAACAGACAAGATGTCACGACTTACTCAAGCTGTAGTTTGGATTCCTGATTCTCACGGTCGGATTGTAGCTGTTACCTCTCTCCGCCCCACCTAGTTTCAGTTTGTCAACTAAATCGTGAGCGACAAGTACTTTGACAACCTTCCCTACGATCTCCACTGCTATTGCTCCGCCATATCTCAGCTCCGAAAACCGGACATGATTATTTGGTTCTATTTGGCCGATCGGATCTGCTGATGACTCTGTCCCAGCGCGTAGTCCGTAAGCGACCAAGGTTTGTAACACGCCTGTGGTGTATTTTTGGGCGGGCTTGGTCAAGTGTATCGCCATTCCAATTCACTTCTGCTATTGTTACAACAAAGGTATGTTGCCGAAATATCAACGCATCTATATCTCCATTCTACTATTTTTTCCGTAGAACAAGGCTATAACTATTGCCTTATCTATACGCTCTGCAAACAACTGCAAGGCAACAGCTGCCTTCCCAAGGCCACGCTGCTGCTGAGTGCCCGACCGGCCATATTTGCTGTCGGCCCTCGTTCGCCGAGCCCGCCGGCCCCCTCCTCCCTCGCTCGCATCGGACGGCACTCACACTCAGTTGGCCCTGGTGGAGCACGACGCCGAATACGCCGCGCGACGCGCAGCGTTCGTGGGATGCGGCCGGCCAGCCCGACCGCGGCGGCCGGATCCCGACGACGCTCGCCGGAGGCGTGACGTCATCCTGACGTCAGACGGACGCGCCTGCGGCCCGGTCGCCGGCCGTATATCTGGGCAGCCGACGCCGCGGGCCGCAGCACAAACGCGGACCGCCCGCGCATGCGTCACGCCACAGCAGCCATCGACCGGCGCCGAGCGCGCTCAGTGGATTCGAGATCTTGCATGGGTGAGTACAGGCCGTCGGCCGGGGTTAGGGAGTGCGGCTGATACGCCATTGCGGCCTGCGACGCTGCGGGCATGAAAATGCGGGTGTATGTGTAAATTTTTTGAAAAAGGGCAGCGGGCGTAGCTCAAAATGTTTCACCGTGAAATTGGCCAATAAAGTAGAATCTTAAATTTGGGGATGAATAGTTTTTCCACAATTAATGCGTGTGCATGAGTTGTTAAGTAGGGGCAAAGCCCTTGTTCCTTTGCGCCACTATGTGAAAATATCCTTGTGCACGTGTGTAGTACCATAAGCTTGAAAAGGTATGCGCTGGAGCACAGGATGTAGCTTTTGAAAATAAGTGCTAGAGCCTGTTTCAAGATGCTCAAAAGCGCGCTCCTCGCGGGAGTCTACAGTTTTGCTTAAAATAAGGTACGGAGTCAGGGGCGTAGCTAGGATTTTCTTAACAGAAAGTGATAGCGGGGGGGGGGGGGGGGCTCGGTGATAGGGTATCACGCCGGTTTTAACTTTCCGTCGGGAGACAGCTATACAGAAGTCCGGGCTGCAGGGTGGGCGCCCCTCCCCCTTGACAGCGATCCCTGCCTCGAGACCACTTAGCTGAAAAGGAAACACACTCCTGTTATGGTGTTGGATGATAAGATCTGAAACGGTCTTGTGGTCGGGCAGATACCCCATGTTGCGCATCAGCGTGGTTGCGGGAACGAGGTCGCTGCAGTGATTGCATCACCGGATGACATCACCCCTTTGTCGTAAATATTGCACGCTTACAGCTGGTGCCGGAACGTTGACACGTTTCGCTCAACTCGACCGATCTCGCTTCGGTGTTCGTAGTGGCATTATTAGGAGTGGAAATTTGGACAGAAACATCCTGGACCGAGCTAACGGTACGTGTGGACGCTTGTCAATTTTCGGCCTGGTAAGAGGGCACCGCCGCCAAATAAGTCTCTTACCGCGTTCTAAACAAAGAGTTCAGCTGCGATGCTATCTGGCGCAAAAAGCCTATGCAGCTGACGCGCCCTTAAAACCCAATAGCAACCGATGCTATCTATGCCACGTAAGTAAGCCGCAGTGAGTTCTTGGCTCGGCGCCAGCCCGGTCCACAGGCGTGTGTGAGGCGTAATAGCTCGCAACGCCGGGCGGTACGTGGTGGCCTTGTTAATGCACCAGAACGACCAACTGGTTTTATCCGGTTCGCGGTCTTGTTCTGGCGTTGCGCGTCTGCGGTTGTATGGTCGAGTTTTAGACGGTGGTATTTGGTTAGACCCTCCTTGCCACCTCAAGGGGCTGGACTTCAATGAATTGCGATAGGAGTGGAAAGACACCGTTCAGTGACGTCACGCACCCAATTTAAAGCGAGGTCATCCGTTTCCTACGTCGCCGTTTGAAATCGAGGTCAGCTTTGACAGTGGCTCTCCGGTACAGCACGGTTCTGGCAGGAAACCGTGGCCGGATTTTTGGCCGACGCGAAAAGATTCCTTTGTTGCTCGTGATTGTCGTAAGTGAATGCAGGGAGCAGCGGTTCTTTGTCCACAAATCTCTCAAAATGTCCGCTCTATGCGTTGCAAGCTCTTGCATTGGAAGAGATGTATAGAAGGCTTTGCTTTGGAAGTTTTGAGTGCGTAAATTTAGAAATTTGTGCGTTTGAAGTCTTTGTAGTGCAAGTTATGTCGTGTGGCAGTTTTTGCGTCAGAAGTTTTGTCGCATGTCGCGTAGCAGTTATTGCATTAGAGGTTTTGTCTCGTAGAAGTGTGTGCCTTATAATTTCTTGCATCTAATGGAATGTCGCTTAGAAGTTTTGATATTAGAAGTTTTGTCGCGTAAAAGCCTCTTCGCAGCGAAGTATTTGCGGTAGAAATTATGCCATTAAAGTTAGTCATTCGTAGTAATGCGTTAGAAATTCAGTCGTCAAATCACTATGACCCCACTGTTTCGTTTGCAGAGCGTCATAAACCCGCCGACAGCATAGCATGGCCGGAGGACTGGGACGGCGCGGTGGCTGGGCGGTGGTGGGGGTCGGAGGAGACGGAGGCGCTGGCCTCGGCGGCCCACCCGGGCCGCTGGGGCATCGAGTGGCCCAGCTGACTCTCTTCGGGGCATTGTGAACCCACCGACGTCCCTGAGGGGACTCGGGACGGGCCGGTTCCACTCTGGCCGGACTCCGACTACTTTTCGGCGTCGTCCGAGGATGACAGGTGAGCCGCGAGCCGCAGCCGCCGCCAGCCCGTGACGCGGTGGGTGGCGTGACGGACGGCGTGCGTGTGCTGGCGGTGTTGGAGCCTGGGTGTTGGAATGACGGTCATTGAAACAAATATGGTGGGCAACACTTGCGCTTGGATGCGGGCATTTCAGAGCAAAGTGGATCGCTTCCTAAAAAGATTCTTGAAATCTCAGACACGTGATGAACTGTGGGCTCGCAAAAATCAAATGCCAGGATTGTGGTCAATTTAGAAACTCGATTCTAAGAACCTACGATGATGTGATTCTGACTGATTCTGACCGGCCTTGAACGGAACTAAATTGTATGTCCTTCCCTCTTCCAAATCCCGTGTTTCCAAATATCCGAGCTGCCCCCGCCTCTCCGCCTTGGGCGCGTCACTCACGAAGCGCCGTTGTCTGCGCAGCGACACCGAGTCGAGCTCGGGGCCCAAGTCGGCTGGATGGCCGGCCGACTGGCCGCTGCCGGCGCCCGTCTGGTCGCCGCCGCCGCCGCCCGTCTCGTTCGGCAGCGCCGCCTCGCTGGCTGCCTTCACCAGCGAGCTGGACCAGCTGCTGGCCGCCAACCTGGCGCGCCACAGCTACGACTGCCTGAACGTGTTCCTGTGCTTCCACCGAGCACACCGCAGCTGGGCAACGGCCGGCGCGGCGGGCACGTTCGACGCGTGGCGGCGTCGGTTCGCCGTGCTGCCAACCGAAGACCACCTGACCTGCGTCGGCCTCTCCACGGACCTGCTGCGCCGAGTGGCGGCGCGCAGTGACACGGTCGCCTCCCACTTCTACCTGGCCTCCATGGAAGAGGTGAGTGGTCGACTTGCCAGCAGAGGGCCTTTAGCTGCGTTCTTGCCTTCTGCCATGGTGCCGACGATATTTTTGGGTCGGAGCTGCCGTCGCGTAGGTTTTGTGCGTCACAGCCGATGTTTCATGCCGTGGTTCATGGTGGACCTAAAAACCTACGAGGTATATTCCCGACGATAAGGAACGAAAGATGTTTGGGCATGTGACTTGAATGCGTGCGTTTTGTGGTGGACAAACTGTCGAAGTCATTCCTCTTTTCCCACGTTCACATTCCTAAACCTGTGCATCGATAATTACGTCTCCCTGGAAAGAAGTGTCATACTAATGCGCTGCACATCAGTAGGCTTGCACCTTTTATGGCTGGCTCGTCATTCACAGGCTACTTGCATAGCACGTACATATTTGTGCGGAATTTGAAGCAAGATGACCATTTTCAAGATCATTTGCTGCAATTCACAGTCGTGCCCTTTTAAAGTCTGGAAACCCGCTCGTTTCGGAGCTAGTTGCACGCGAGCTCACGCCAACTTCGAATGCCGCTAATTTGACCCTCGTGCACGGTTCCGGGAAGCTCCCAGCAATGAGCTTCCCGGAAACCGATTTATACGACCATCCGCCCCCACACGACAGCGGACGACCCCTGCTGCGGAGGCCTGACCCCTCCGCCAGCGTACCCCCTAACCACCGACGCGCTGACCGGCTGCGGTGTCTCCGGCAGGACGTGGGCGACGCAGACGAGTACGTGTCGCACGGCCGCCCGCCTGACAGGAACGAGAACGACCACTGCCTGGTGGCCTGCCAGCTGCGCCTGGCCGGCCGGCGCGGCGTGCTGCTGCTCGACTCGGGCTGTCACGTGCCGCGCGTCGTGGTCGTGATGGCCGACGGCCTGGCACCACACACCGGTGAGCTGTCGGGCCCCGTCTGCTGGGGCATGACGGCGGCAGGTGCGGCGAAGAGCGTCGTGGAAGCTGGACAAGGGTTTGGTGTTGAAAAACGAACGGCCTGTTTTGTTGTGGTTAACGCCAACAGCTTAGGTGACGAATGTAATGGAGCTTTGCTGGTACTTAGGCATTTTAATAAATTACAAGTGAATGGCGAGGGCGGTTTATCGATGTATCGAAATCGATGACGTCTGAGGGAAGCAAATAGACGGGTGGTGGTTGCATCATGTCGAGAGAGGCGTGACAGGCGCTACCCTGCCGATTAAGTCCCTCCTCCTTGCAGGTCCCTTCGTCATGGACAGCCTGTCGGGCCACCTGACCTACGAGTACCAGCTCTCGCGTAACAACAAGTTTGTCATCAACACAGCGCGCAAGACGTCGCCGACCGGCATTACCTCCATCAAGCGCAGCTGCATCTTCGTGGCCGGCCGCTTCGAGAACCCATACGCCTTCGCGGAATACCGCAACATCTTCCACACGCTGCGCTCGCTGATCCGGCGCGCGGAGGACGGCCGGCTGCTCAGCGGGCTGTACTTCCCTCTGCGGCAGCCGGAGGACGCCGCCATCACCGTGTTCTGGCACACGGCGTCCGGCCAGAGGCAGAAGATGCGGCTGCCGCTGGCGGTGCTGGCTGCTGGCCGGCTCAGCGAGCCGCAGCAACAGGCGCTGCAGGAGACGGGCCGACAGCTGATGGTGCCGCTGCCGCAGTGGGAGCGGCTGTTGCAGGAGGTGGTGGACGTGCTCAGCGACCGCGTCTTCATCCAGAACGTGGTGGACGTGAACGAAGAGATCCTGCTGCTGTCTAGCGACAACTAGCCGGCTGGCCACGTCCCAGTCTCGATGCGAGCAGTCACCGCAGGGAGCAGTGATTTCTACAGGCAGCCGCGAAGGTCATCAGCGGGCGCCACGTCAAGTTTGATGGTTTTTGGCTTACCAGCATTTGTTGTGGTTTCCGGTGTTGGGCCTCACTGTCTTTTTACTTAATCTCCTTTCAACTTCCTGGTTAGCACGGCTAGTGAGCAAGGTTAGTCTCCCATGGGTATTTTGATTTGTTTAGTGATATATTTGCAAATATCAGTAGCCACGCTACAGCATCTTTCGCACGATATCTGGATTATCGCTTTATTAACGCAATTTATCGCTTATTCAAATATATATCTACCAGACAGTTCTTTGTTCCTCGGCGGGGAAGGTGCTAGCCAGACTACGCGTCAAGCATGCGGTCAGCATGAGTGTAGCAAGGAGAACCCTCGTAAAGCCGGGGTGAGCACTCACTGGTGATAACATACTTGAGCCATATATCTGTATGGAAGGAGTGGATCCAGAGGGCGAGGAGAGGGAAGCACGTGGCAATGGCCCTCCCCTTATGCTCCGGAGAGGCCCATAGCGGGCCGAACAGACACAGTTTTTTTGTTTACAAAACGCAGCAAAATTAGACGTCCTTGGGCCTCCAGACGACCGCGAACAGTCGCAAGCAAAAGATATGGGCCGCGAGCAGACAAAAAAGTTATTCGCTGATTAAAGATAATATCCCGCATATGAAGATATTGAAGCAGGCACCACATATGATGAAACAAGCTAGCTTATAACAATTGGCTCACTTCCGAGTGGAAAAGACTGCTCTAGATCACGCAATTTCTCTATTTAGTGGATATGCTCCCCAATACGTCATTGTTTGATTGCGTCATCGTACCTTGCATAACATTGATTGAGAGCCACTTGACGGCTTGACGACTGAGAGCCACCTGACGGTATCTGGAAGCCGCGCCCACGAACGCCAGATACGAACGACTAGACGCTTCTAATTTGTTTCTCCTTGATCGCTGCATGGCCAATGTAATTACAGGATATGAATGACGTTATAATTTCGCCACGGATGCCTAGGTGACATCAAAGTAGTTCGCACAAAATAGCCTGCACATCTTCGCGGTGTGTAGCTCAGAAACTAGAGAGCTTTAGGTATTAAAAGGAGCAGGAATGTGAACTACACCGAATGATCTTCAAGATGGCTGTTTCGGCTCAAAATCCTACACAAATGTTGAACACTCTAGCCCTAAGCTGTTGTCAGGGCCCTATCCGCTAACATGCCGGGGCACTCTCGCCGACCACGGGCCCTCCACGGGTTCGTCTCATTCTCGCAAAGGGTTCACAAGGTGTACCCGATAGCCGGGGGCTCATATGTCGACCGGCCGAAATGCTGTCAGTTGCTCAGGGACACCTCACATTGGTCTCGGTTAACCAACCGACACACCTGCCATATCCTCATAGGCCCTTCGACTCGGTCTAGGGCCGTTCCAATTTCCTGTTACTTGCGGAGGGTCCTCCGCTCTCGTCGGGGCCACGTCTGGTAACCTATCCGGGCACATTCGATCGTTCGGGTGTCCTCCGCAATGGGTTTTGTGGCACTTTGAATATCCCTGGAACGCCTTACGCTGTTGTCGGGGGCCCTATCTGTTAAACTGCTTGGGCATACGTGACCATTCGTGGCCATACACATTGCGTATGGGGTACGTTCTGTTTGAATGTAGGGCACTTCGCTCTTGTCGGTGGCCTCGATTCAAATAAAAAGTACCCAAGTGGGCGTAAAATGACCACGGCCGTCGACGTGCCTTGAAGTCCAAATAACAACAACAGCTCTTGTCGGGGGACCCATCTACTACCTGTTCGGGCGCACCCGATCAAGGGCGATCTCTCGCCTTTCAATAACATGCCCAGTGTCTGTCACGTCAGATCAATGGCCAAAAGATCACCGGTGGAAGGGCTCGCTATTCGAGTGTCATTTGAAAGCTGTCCACTAGGACTTTCAAACGTGCACAATTTTAAACTCCGTCCGAACGGAAATTGTTTCAAGCTGTGCCGTATTTTTCCCGGCCACAGGTTATATCGGCATGTGCCTTTGCATATACGTATCGAATGCTCATGCAAAACACGAATATGGTAGCAATACTTTTTCTAAACGTATAAAGCACCTTCCCGCCTTTCAGTAACATGACTTCAAATAACCTGCTTTTCCATAGCACGTCCATGAACGTCATATTAAGCAAGTAGCCATAATTCTGCCTGCAGATGGGCTCCATGATCTGGTGTAGTCTCGTGTGTCTGCCCTGGGGCTATCACACGCGCACGGCTTCCCTCTTCTCATCCGATTTTAAATGATTCCAAAACGATAATATATTTCGAGTCACTGGGTTCCATTTGGCTAACGACGACGCTGCACTGTTAGGGCAACTCGACATTAAAAGACTGATCGTCTTTGATCGTCATTGATCAAATGACTGATCGTCATTTGTTTTCGATTCTTTTCAAGGCGTTTCGGTTTGCACTGCCTTGAATCCGATCCTGTTTTGGTGCTTTTCCAGACCTGTCATGTCCAGCGGGGTCAAATCCGTTGATCAATGTGTAATCCGTGCATTTCTACAATCCGGGAAGAGCTTTATGACGGTGAAAGAATATTGCGGAGCAGCTGACAAGCAAGGTATCCAACAGTTCAGTTATATACATAGTTTTGTACGTCGAATCTCGAATGTTGTCCTCTTCGGTGTGATAGAGCAGGATGGAGAGCTACGGCAATAATCTTAAATTTGCATCACACTATGCCTGCAAGCATCTGCTGTGACAAACGCGCCTTACTCTCGTTGAGCGCTCTCTACAAGCCTCCCACCAGTCTACCGACTCAAGGACTCGCAGTTGTGTCGAGGATATAGTGTATTGCGCAACGACAGAAGCATACAAACACTGTTATTTCCAAACTGAGAAAGCCATGCAGGTTTAAATTGCACGCTGCGCTGTGCTGGCCACCGGCACCAGGACCCATACCCCTGGCAGCACCAGGCACATCACCACCGGACCCTTCCGGGGGCCGCAGTGCTAGCAGGGCGCCGGGACGGTCAAACAATCCGCCCACGGACACCACCGCCGCTGCTGGGCGGCGGCGCGGAGGCGGAAGGCTCACGGGCCCGCCGGGCGGCGGCGGCCCGGGCCGACCGACGCGTAGCCTCCTGGCACGTAGCCGGTCACTGGGGGCAGCGCGCGGATCATGTGAGCAGGCGTCAGGCGGCGCGTGAGACACCGTGATGGTGACTGGACGCTGAGTGCGGTGGTGTTTTCAGTGGAAATAAGACGTGCGTTGGCAGGTCTGCCTGCAGGCCAACAACCGAACTGTGTCGGCGGGCAGCGGCTCCAGCCGTGCCTACCACTTGGAGGCACACACAACGCGTTGCCATAACTGCTAATATGACGCTATGCTGGGACTGATAAGTACCCTCCAATGCGGACGGACGCAGGCAGCTAGCATAGACTTGTTGACAGAGTTGAGCTAGGAAATTTATTTTTGGCAGCGCTGCACAACGATCCGTGAGCTGAAAAGTATCCAGCATGCAGCTGTATCCTCGAACATAGGTTGGGAAACTCCGCCGCTAATTTGAGATTAGCTGCAGCTGCGAGTCGAACAGCTTTTGTACATGGCGTACATTCTGGATCAGCTTGGTTGTTGCCTAATCGCCTTAGGATAATGTTTGACTTAATGTGCTTAAAGTTTTAATCAAGCAATGATGAAGCATGTAATCAGTTATCAGGTCTAATAAATAATAGCAAACAAGCGGTATTTACATATTCTTGTGTTATGTTACGGGTTCAATAAACAGCAAACGCCAATTCAATCATCAAGGAAGATCATCCGACTAATATCTAGGCACTATGCACATCAATGACTTGCCGACGGCACATTCTAACCAAGCTACCTGCCAGTGATTTCATATTCTAAGTAAAGAGTAGGCGACAGAAGATTCGGGGCGGCAGAGATTTGGTGGCAACGACTCACGACATTCAACAAACGGTGGCTGAGGTAGCCTGCAAGGCCTGCCTCTGGAGCAGGGGCAGCGCGCATTAGGGCGGCTCGCAACACGGCCACAGGCCACCAGCCGGCCACAGCACACGGGAGCCACACACGAGCACCATTCGGGCGGCGTGTTAAACAGAGGCACGCATGCACCGCGCTTACTTTTCCTTAGAAGATGAAATCACCCAGCAAATACAGGGCAAAGCCCACTACGCAGGCCACTTCTAGCGCCTGCAATTACAAGGAGGTCCTAGCTGAGCACGGGCCTAAGACGGCACCAGTCACCATCGCTTTCATACAGTACGACGCTGTGACCCGTGACGGTGGCCGCACCGTCTCCTGACGGTCCCGACACGTGCTAGCTGACAGAGGAGCAGTCGTGTAGAGTGAGAGGGTCAGGCCACGTCTTGGACAAAGGGTGGGGACAAGTGTGGAGTGACGGAGGGCCAGACTACGTCCGGGCAGGGCCGTCGCGACGGCCCGGGAGCGGGGACGCGCCGTGCAGCTGCCTACTGTAGATACGCTATACGACCAAGGGCCAAGGCGGCGACCCAGACACGTCCGAGGTGCCTACATCGGTTGCCTGGTCTTACGTCGTCCGAAAGGCGGCGAGGCGCCGGGTTCGAGCCCGAGCCCCCCTCCTCCGAGTCCGACCCTTCCTCCTCCTCTTCTTCCTCCCCGGACTCGTCCTCGGACCCCTCCTCGTCCTCGTCCTCTTCGCTCGTCTCCCCGCTGCTCGGGCTGCCCTGTTTGCTGCAATCTCCACCAGCCCTCTCCTGACTGGCACCCTCCCGTCCGGCCGAGGTGCCCTCCGCGCTCCGCGGGGCTGAGGCGTGACCGTCTGCCCCCGCCCGGGACCGCACCCGAGGCGATGCCTCCACAGTCGGCTCCGTTTGACGCTCGCCTCCCGCCCACCCATCCTCTCCGCGGTCCCAGAAAGAAGCGCGAGATTCTTCTCTGCCTTCATCGCGGTCCCAGAAGGAGACGCCACCTCCATGCCCATCGTCGCCGCGGTCCCAAAAGGAGGCGCCGCCTCCGTGCCCAGCGTCGCCGCGGTCCCAAAAGGAGGCGCTGTCTTCGTCCCCATCGCCATCGCGGTCCCAGAACGAGCGGGGCGCTGACTTTGAGGGCTCGGGGTCGGGGTCGGACTCGGAGTCGGGGTCGGAGCTGGGCCCGGGGCTGGCGCCGGCCCGCCTCGGCGCTCGGCGAGCGGCGACCCCCTACAACACACGGCACGTGATATACATCGGATAGCCCGCAGAAAATGCTCGCCGTGGACAGCAGCCAGTGTGAGCAAGTCAGCAAAAATTATGCGGACTGCTGAACAGTGGGTTTTGGTTTTGTCAGCGTCGAAAAATAGGACAAGCAATGCAGAAAATTTTAACACATTCGAGCAAAAGCGATTGTGAACCCAATCCGTTCAGGCGTCTCCCTGAGAGCAAAGAGACGGCAACAAACTCATCAAGACTGAATGTGGTAGGCACTCACAACAAATCTGTTGACTTTTGGCTTTGGCTTTTCAGCGACAGCCGGTTGGTCCTTCATGGCCTCGAACATTGAGCGCAGATTGCGCGCCGTCTCCAGGCTGGGCTTGCACTCTTCCTCCGCGCTGAACTTGTTCTGTTGCTCCATCTTCTGCTCCCAGCGTTCAAACTTGGCCTTCAGATTGCGAGCGTGATCGGTGCGCTAGGGGGGGGGGGGGAGGGATGCTCGGTTACCAGCCAGGCGGAGGGCGGAGCGCAACGCGTTGGTGTTGAAACAGCAGAAGGCAAAAGTGCGCCGCACTTGCCTCAGCACGCAGGAGTGACAGCCATCTGCATCACATAAGCGCCTTCACACAGCTCGTCAAGGTGAAAATTAAACAGAAAACGATAAAGTTTGATCAATGCAAATATTCCTATGCAGCTCTAGCAACACGGGCTCACATTTTCCGTTTGCACGGAAGCATTCAAAACAGACTCTTGGAACCGGTCACGAAGGACGCTAGCTGAAGAGCTGCCAACATCAACTCCGCTGGTGTTGGTATAGGCAGCACAGCCGCGCTTGATGAGCACACATCGGCTGCCCGCTCTGATGTCGTCCGCACAGTGGCGAGGCGCGGCACGCGAGCACGGCGTCCCGCCGGGCCCGCACCCGAATGACGGCCATTCAAGCGACACCTTCTCGGGAAGGCCCGGAGGGCATGTGCGCCTGGAGAGCACACAAGTGCGCTCGGAGAGCTACCGGCGCTGTGTGAGAGCACAGGTGAGCCTGTCTCCCTCTTACCTGCGTGAGAACGTCGTCCTGCGGCTTCTGGCCGGAGCGCACCACGCCCGACTCCGAGTCGTCCGAGTCCGAGTAGTCCGAGTCGTCGGTGTACGTGTACTCGTCCGAGTCAGTCTCCTCGGTGTACTCGGGTGGCGGCGTGAACGCCTTGAGTGGTCTCGGACCTGCGGCAGGGATGGGCGTGGGGCGTGGCGGCGCGTGTGGCGACCGGCGTTGCGCGGCCGCCAGTGTCCGGCTCTGCGTTTTTCGGTCAGACATCATGCGGCTGCAGTGTAGTTGTTACAACGTCGAACTAAAGATAGGGCACTCCGTCACCGAAGGAGTAGTTGGAAGAGCTCATGTTAATGAGCAATTTAAGCGCTCTGGTGTAAGGAGTCGCCGTTTACAAAAGTCAAGTCTCTTGGGTGTCTTACCCTGCTAAGTATAATTTCTCTGAATGACACAAAGCTCGGTGAGGCTGCTCGCACGGATAAAGTAGATGACATATACATGAATGCCCAACAAACACCTTTGTGAAATGTTTTCATTACTTAGTCGGTTCATAGCTCAGACGAGGAATGAATATCACTTTCAATTAAAGGCTATCATGTGTGGCTGTCCACACAGATTAAGTAGATGAAATAGACATGCATGCGCAGTGCATACCTTTGTTGAGTGTTTTGGACACTTAATTGGCTAATAGCTCAGACGGGGAACAGGCGTCACTCTCACACACAAGCCCTTTTCACGCTGGCGTTATCAGATAAGGGCCTAATCTGGTACCACCTCTTCAACACCCTTGAGGAAGGATAAACTAGTGAAATTCGCGACGCGCCGACAAGTCTATCAAAATGCCCGCTATGCTCTACTTGGAAGCGTTTTTTTTTTGTTGTTATCACCGCCGTAACTATCATCCCACGTGTTGCAATTGGTTTCGTTTCTGTTCTATTTCATAGTTTGATTCCATATAACGACATTCGTAACTATGAAATGAGGGATCTATTCATGGTGAAACAAGCATGCTCACAAAGCGAACTTCGTCTGCTGTTTTGGTAGACCTGAATACAAGCGTTGGGTTTCCCCATATGTATCCCAATCTCCATGCTCTTCAGATTGAGAGGCGTTGGACAAAGGACAGCCAAAGGAGCCTCTTACCGTCTGGCAGTTCCTCCTTCTGGGCGTCCTCCTCCATTTGCCGGAACATCGAGAGCAGGTGGCGAGCGTTTCCCTGCGGCCTCTCCCGCGTCGTCCTCGCCTCTGGCAAACCGGAGGAAAGCCGTGTATCATATCCCTCAGCGCGCTCTGGCCAAGCGGAGAGTCGTTACCACGTTAATGATGTAGTCTGCTGGGACGGGACTGCCCCTGGGTGAGCAGGGAGAGCCCGCTGTGATGTACTGGGACAGATAACCAGCACGTAATCCAAAACTAACGCGAAAGTCAGAAATACATGTGAACGCGACAGCGAACACTCTGCCCTGATCTGAAGCCTTACGGCCCACTCCTTCATCGTCATGACACTGAGTGAGCACATCAGTGACCTCCCTGCCCTGAGGTGATGCCACGTGACCTTCACTGTGGCCACCATGGTCCTGTATGGGCATAACAATGACCTCTCAGCCGTGACTTGAGCCGCGAAACATAAATCAAGACGACCGCTGGGTGTAGTTGGCTACGAACTACGGTAAAGGTGGGAAACAGTGGACTGTTCTTAATTTTAACGATACAGACCAGCATCAAAGGAAGACCAGTCCAGTAAGCTGTAACGTGTGGTTCCGCCTGTGCGTGCCCCTTACCTTGGCCGTCCGAGCCGCCTCTCTGCTCCATTTGTTTGAATTTGCTGAGCATGCGACTGGCAGTGTCACTGCGCGCCAGCTCGCCCTCCGGCCGATCGTCGGCGCGCACCACGTTCGGGTCCCGTTCCACCTCGCGGTCCGGGGTGTTACCCTGGGGCGGAGCGGGTCACGTCAGGTCAGCTCACGGCCACCCGGCCAGTGCAGTCGACAGGGCACGGTGCGATGGGAAAGCCGCTCAAAATCAGATGTTGTGCGTCAGTGATGAGGCTGACGCTAACACAAGATGCGTCACAGTTGTAAACAAAACTTATGGATAAAACACCAGACAAAAAAACAACAAAAACTAACAGCTTAATGTTAATGCAACTGGCAACTAGTAAAACACTAATGAAGTAAAAGGGCGTTGACGTCACACCACGAATTATTGGCCAGTACAGCTGACTGAAATGGACTCACGAAAAAAAGAGGAAAGGAATTGCCGTATTAGCAAACAAACAAACCAGGACAAAATTTTTAGGCGATGAAATGGTAATCTTTGCAGTCCGCCAGTCCCACTGCATCTTTCATGCTGTGAAGAGACAAACGGACACAGACACAGATAAGGAGACGAGGCACTGAAGAGACATGTTGTGGGCTAAGATTCCGAGTCGATATTAGAGCAGCGCATGCTGGTCGAGGCCGGTAGCGGCACCTTAACAGTGCCCTCTCGCGGTGGGGAGAAGCGGAATGGCTTCTTCTCCTTTTCCGGCGCCTTATATGTCTCAAAGAACTTGAAGCGGCTGGAGAGAGCCGACGTCTCCACGTGAATGTCGTCGTGCTTGGAGGAGGACTTGACGATCTCCGCAGCCGGTTCCGACTCGTACACACTCTGATGAAAGGTGCCATCTCACTTAGCGTCACAATGACTTGTGATGCCTGTAGTGTTACGGTATTGGTGGTGAAATGCGGAGGACCAGAACCATACAGGCCATACAGCGAAGGACATCGTGCACTGACGTGGGGGCTCCCTTTATCAGGGCAGTCCTCGTCGTTTCCTTTTTCGCATAGCCGACATGCCATGGCTGCTAGACCTGCTTGCAAAAACCATCCATTTTTTAACTGGATATAGCAAATTTCTGATCAAAGCGCACAATGTGTTCGAAAAACGCGAAGCAAGCTCGGGCTTCCTTTCTAACCACGTCCCTGCCATCCGTGAACGTAGCTCAAAAAAGCTTATTTGCACATCTTGTTTCCCTTTCTATATAAACTGAAACGTATGTCAGGCAGTGGGTACGCGGTACGTAACATTTGTTTGAGGGCCGCATCAGACCGATTTTGTAATATTTTCGGGGTATTGAATTCATTCCAAAAGCTTGTCTTTGTTGCTGACATTTACATCCAAGCACTGAAAGCTCTGGAAGGTTTTCAGTTATGTTCGCAGAACAAGGCGAATGACCCAGAACTAGTATGTCCTCGATTGCTGTGTCAGCACACAGTCAAAGAACTGGCGTCCCCTTAAAAAGCCCCGCAGCCTGTACTGTGAACGCTGCGGACATGTCTAGCCCACTGCCCGCCTTAGCTCACCCTCCTGAACTCCGTCTTCCCGGCTGATGACGGCGACCTCAGCACGACGCCCTCCCTGGGGCCCGAGGCGTCCAGCTCCTTGAAGAGGGACCGGGCTCCGCGGGCCGTCCCTGTCAGCAGGCGCCCGCGGCGTCAGAGCACAGTCAGCTCGTACAGGCTCAGACTGAGGCAGGTGCTCCTTGGAACGTCCGCGGTGTCAGAGCACGGTCAGCTCCTACAGGTTCAGACTGAGGCACGTGCTCCTAGGGACACCCGCGTTAGAGCACAATCAGCTCGTACAGGTTCAGTCTGAGGCAGGTGCTCCTTAGAACGTCCGCAGTGTCAAAGCACAGTCAGCTGACATTGGTTCAGACTGGGGCAGGTGCCCCTAGGGACGCCCGCGGTGTCAGAGCACAGTCAGCTGACACAGGTTCAGACTGGGGCAGGTGCCCCTAGGGACGCCCGCGGCGTCAGAGCACAGTCAGCTGACACAGGTTCAGACTGGGGCAGGTGCCCCTAGGGACGCCCGCGGTGTCAGAGCACAGTCAGCTGACACAGGTTCAGACTGGGGCAGGTGCCCCTAGGGACGCCCGCGGTGTCAGAGCACAGTCAGCTGACACAGGTTCAGACTGGGGCAGGTGCCCCTAGGGACGCCCGCGGCGTCAGAGCACAGTCAGCTGACACAGGTTCAGACTGGGGCAGGTGCCCCTAGGGACGCCCGCGGTGTCAGAGCATAGTCAGCTGACACAGCCTCAGACTGGGGCAGGTGCCCCTAGGGACGCCCGCGGTGTCAGAGCACAGTCAGCTGACACAGGTTCAGACTGGGGCAGGTGCCCCTAGGGACGCCCGCGGCGTCAGAGCACAGTCAGCTGACACAGGTTCAGACTTGGGCAGGTGCCCCTAGGGACGCCCGCGGTGTCAGAGCACAGTCAGCTGACACAGGTTCAGACTGGGGCAGGTGCCCCTAGGGACGCCCGCGGTGTCAGAGCACAGTCAGCTGACACAGGTTCAGACTGGGGCAGGTGCCCCTAGGGACGCCCGCAGCGTCAGAGCACAGTCGGCTGACACAGGTTCAGACTGGGGCAGGTGCCCCTGGGGACGCCCGCGGCGTCAGAGCACAGTCAGCTGACACAGGTTCAGACTGGGGCAGGTGCCCCTAGGGACGCCCGCGGTGTCAGAGCACAGTCGGCTGACACAGGCTCAGACTGGGGCAGGTGCCCCTAGGGACGCCCGCGGTGTCAGAGCACAGTCGGCTGACACAGGTTCAGACTGGAGCAGGTGCCCCTAGGGACGCCCGCGGTGTCAGAACACAGTCGGCTGACACAGGTTCAGACTGGGGCAGGTGCCCCTAGGGACGCCCGCGGCGTCAGAGCACAGTCAGCTGACACAGGTTCAGACTGGGGCAGGTGCCCCTAGGGACGCCCGCGGTGTCAGAGCACAGTCGGCTGACACAGGTTCAGACTGGGGCAGGTGTTCCTCAGCATGGTCTGCTCAGTTTGGTTTAGGTGAGGGAGTTATACACAGCTGATAGATAGCTGCCCGGTAGCCTTTCCTCCCTTCTAACGCACGACGATCTGTTAACGAACAATAAAGCCGTGTCCGCGTCGTAAGCTCAGCTGGTTTGAGCGTTTGCTTTCTGATTCATCTTCCCGTGGCGGGGTGGGTTTGGGTCGCTTTATGCGCTCGCTGATTACCCATAACTGAGGTGGTCTGTGACCTTCGGCAGCGGCCGCGCTAGAATGTCCTGTGCCAGCGGAGGAAAGGGAGACTGTCGAACAAGCCAGACAAGAGTTAAGCTTTTGCCACAGCATTATGCCGGTGACCCAGAACTTCGGATCGGATGGCGGAGTCAGGGCTCATGTAACGAGCTCCGCGCAGCGTGGGCGCAGGTCCCAGAAATGTATTTAATCAAAAGGTTCAGACCAAATCTTAACCAGGGAGGCGGGGTAGTGATTTATCGTCACAGTCTGTTGTAGCAGTGGGAGTAAGCTGTCATCCGCTCAGCTCAGTCGGTTCAATGCCTACCACCTGATGACAAGAAAGGCCGCCCATGTGGGCTCGGGGTCCAGAGACCGCGCTCGACTATTTGGCTCGTCAGGGACGGTCAACTGCCAGCTGGCCACGAGGGGTCGAAAATGGCACCGGGTGACTGTGCCACGCATCGCGAGACACATTATTATCTTTTGGAAAAATTACCTCGCGAGGCGCATTAATATCTTTTGGAAAAATTACCCGTCCCACTGGAATACTTTATAGGTGGTAGGGTACACAGCTCATGACTTGAGGATGACCCCATGGCGCTGGTATTGAAGCCTGTCCTGTAATCGGCCCAGTAGTTTCTGAGATCGTAGGGGTGGGCGCGGAATCCGCGCCCCAGCACAGAATGAAACGAAAGGAGAGCCCATCTGGTATAGAGTTCAGCGGAATTCAAAGGACAAAACAATCCACGGCAAACGTATATATCACATGCTCTGCTGGTGTGTGGTCAAAAGGCGGCTTGAGTGGACGAGTGAAGGCTCGAATTTTACGATGACGCTGTAGGACAGGTGGCATGGCGTGTGTATGCGGAAACGGAGTCAAAATATTCTGGAAATAGATAACATGACGCATAGATGGGGCGCAGCGGGGGGGGGGGGGGGGATTTCGAGCAACGTGCACCTTCAGCCAAAAATAGCGTTTAAAGCAGCCCTCCAATCAATTTAAAGCAGCCCTCCAAAGTTTAAGCACCCCACCACAGCGTTTGAAGCAGCCCTCCAAAGCAGGTAACCCTAGCGCACGTCAGTAACACTCGTTTGAGCCATCAGCCGGCGGTGCTACAGCCCCGCGTCAGTAGCGCCCGCCCGAGCCATCAGCCAGCGACTCACCGGCCTCGCGGAAGAGCGCGGCGTCCTCCTCCCGCCGGCGGAGCGTCTCGGCGTCCTCGTCCGGGCCGTCCAGCTCGCCACGCTCGAACTTGGACGCCATGCTGGTCGCCTTCTGGCGGGTGACGGCCTCGGTGGAGCGGGACACGGCCGGGGCCGACTCGGCCTGCTGCACCGCCTGCTCGTACGCCTTCAGGTTCACCTGACGACCGGGCGGCCGGGCATGTCACAGGCCGCCCGTGCTCCACAGCTGGGTCCCGAGGCGAGACGCGTCCTGCCCCGGCGGGATCCAGCGATCCACCGACGCTGGTTGATCCGTCGTCCGAAACGCAGTCTGGGTGTTACCGAGAACTCGGTGTGGGTGTTACCGATAACTCAGTGTGGGTGGTTCTAATTTCATAGGTTGTGGGAACGGAAGTCCCGGACCATCCAGTATTCCGCACCTGTGCGGACTGTCGCCCCGAGCGTTAGCAGGCAAGCGGCGCCCACTGACCTGTATTTCGGCGCTGGGGTCTTCCACAGCTCTCTTCATGGCGGCCTCCTGCTGGAGCGTCTCTTCGTAGGCCAAGCGTCGGTCACGCGCCTGCCGACGACAGGCGGAGGTGCAATCACGGCAATCACTCGAGTTCAATCACTCACTCACACAGAGTGCAAGCTCCCCGAACCCACTGTTGTTCTTAGAACTTTGATTAGACTCGCAGAATCTGTTTATGAGCGTGCACACTGGGGACGTGTGAAACGAAACTTGATTTTCTTATGAAACACTACGTTTCATGCTAAAAGACGTACACTGTAGCATGTAGAGCGTGAGCGAGCGAACAGTGCAACTCATTTTCCACGATGAAGACTCTCGTTTAAACACGCCAAACGCATTATCACCGCTATCACTTGTACTCCACAATGAAGACTTGATTAAACACGCTAAACACGTAAACACCGTTATCACTTGGACTCCACGATGAAGACTTGATTAAACACGTCATACATGTGACCGCCGTTATCACCTGGACTCTGGTCAAACTCGGCCGTCACCCGCTGGCAAACGTGTCAGGTGCCGGATACGCTTCGACTCACGACAGAGCTTCTTGTTGAGACTTACCTCAGCGCACCCATTACTAGGTTTTTACATTAGCATGCGCGCGCGTGCGAGAGAAAGTACGGGCGTCTCGTGCTCCGTACAGGGCCTGTCTGTGTGCAGCTGGATGTTGCGTTCTGCTGCTGGTCGGGGCAGCCGTGCCGGCCGTCTCTGCCGGCTGCGCAGCTCGCACCACTCACCCCGCAGATCATGCCGCGCAGCTTGGTGAGCTCGCCCTTGCGCTCCTCCCGCATCCTCTCGCGCCGCTCGTGGCCCTCCTCGAAGTGCCGCTTGGTGTCGCCCATGCCGGCGAAGCTGACAGGCCGCTCCTTGGCCGTCTTCTTGGTGGAGCGGACCACGTCCGGGTCGCGCGGCACGTCCTCCTCGTCGTCCTCGTCCTCCTCCTCCTCCGAGGACACGTCGCCCAGCTCCACACCCGCGTCACCCTCCTGGCCCGGAGTCTGGAACCTAGTGCGGGATGTTACGTTAGCAAGTCCATCGTGCGTTGTTGGAAGCGAACGGCAGTGAACCGATAGCTTTGGGGTGCACGGTGGGACTAACGCCAAGGACGTGAAGTGTAGCGTTGTATGATGTCTGGGGACGACACGGTAACATAGACGACATAGGGCGACACAGTAAGACTAGCAGAGCCAGGTGCGCTATAACATACCGACAAGAAGCGAAAAAGCGCAGTGCTACTGTAACAGATGCAGGGCCGTTCCTATCATTCTTCAAATTGTCAAATTGTGCGGAAACAATTCATCATTCGACTATCATTCCACACTACAGTATCCATCAAATACATGCATGCACGCACATCACATACATCCCGCCTCGCCGAACACACGCCGCGCCATCGAAAACGACTGGGGGATATACACATATGTATTATGTATACATATACATGCATGAATAAACATATCTTATTAACGAATAAACACATTGAGTTGGGACTCACTGCGTTTGCACCTCACATGCCGTCGGGATATCGACCCATGCTCCGCACTCACTTTTTGATTTTCTTAAGTAGGCTCTGTGACCGTTTGACTTCCACGGCCGCCGGGTTCTTGGGTTGTTCATCATCACTGGTGCGCTCAAACACCGAGAATCGGTCTTTGACGTTCAGGTTCTGCAGATCTTCCAGTCCGTAATCAGACTTACTGGAGGCTGAAAGTGGTGGTTACGTCAACCGAAACAACACGAATTCAACTCATATTATCTGCTTTCGTCTAATTCCTTCAAAGCACATTTGTTGGCTCGGTGTCGTGAGCCAGCAGCATTCCGCACATATGGCTGCAATTTCGGCTTCTTGAGTGCCGCTGAGCTATATATGTTATGATGGCGATGGCAGGCGGAAATGAATCCACAACATTTTTACGTTAATGATTTTGGAGATCCGGAGATGGTCAGTTCACCTGCACAGGTACTAAAGCCAGAGTAACATATAGCTTGATGAGTATCGCTCTGGCCTAGCCATGTAAGCTGCCGCGAAGGCCATCCGCCAACACATCAGTTTTTGTCCGTCTTTATCAGCTATATTGTGTCTCATCTGAAGCAATTAGTACACCAACACGCACAGCAGTTCCATCAAGTCCAGATGCTGACTACCTTGGTCCGAACTCCCATGCCCCTCCGTTATTAAAGCACGTGCTGAAAATTATCTGTGGTTCTATTCCAGATGCCTACTATCTTTCAGCAGCCATCTCATCACGCCGTTCAGATATCCGTCCATCGATGTTTTCCTGCCTACACCACCCAGCCCCTGGCTCTTCGTTGCGGTCTCTTCAGGCATGCCCCAGCCGGATATTAGCACCCTCTGACGCATTGTTGTGGTTCAGACACATTTAGCGATGTATTTGCGGGGTGCGATACTCCCTGAACACCGGCCGGGACCACCTGGACCAACAATGCAGTTGTTTCAGGCCGGCCGGGGCCACCTGGACCAACAGTTCAGCGTCTCAGGCCGGCCGGGGCCACCTGGACCAACAGTTCAGCGTCTCAGGCTCCCGCCGGCTCTCCAGGGCGGCCGTCACGCCCGCGCGGCACGGACGGCTGGTACTGCCATTAGGACTGGGACCTCGGGACTCTCCTACATCGACAGACCACGGGCGGGCGTGATCAGCGAGTCCGCGCGGTAAGAGCTCGGCAGGTGTCTCGAATGTAACCGTGCCCGTGGAGTTCTCACTTTGAGTTCATACTACCGTCTCAGGCTCAGCGCCCACCAATGCATATCTGCGCTGGACCCAATACGCCCGTGGAACCAAAACTACAGCACTGCACTTGTTTCCTCATCCGGCCTGTTTTGCTCAGGACAATTCTCACACTTCATTCATCACACCACGGGTGCACTGTCCGCCCACACCGCCTGCGCGCCGGCGTGAGGCCCGCCGCCGGCCTGCTGCCTCGGGACGGAGGTTGTCGTGACGCAGACGGCGCCCCCGAGAAGGTGGCGACTGACGCATGCTCTGCCCGACAGTTCCGGAGTGCGAAGCTAGGTGGGTGGCGCGCGGTCCTGGGAGACGACCTTGCGGCGCCCCAAGCGGTCCGGTGAAAGTCCGGGGCTTGCTCAGGACACGCACAACGCACCTACACAGTCGACTGCCCCAGGCCGCTGACGGCCAGTGCTAAAAAATGTGTCATACCAACGGAAGGAGGCCAGGTGGCAGCTGCGTTCACGCAAGCATAACCGGCAAAGACCAGACGCTGTCAGCGGGGTGACGGACAATCAGGTGACATTGTCCGTCACCTCGCTATCAACGAAGGGCTGAGAAACACTGCGACCAACATCTGACCGGCCACCGATCAACGCCGTTGAGCGATCTTTGTCACCTATCTAACCATGACTTGACCAAGGAGCGGGTCTGGATTACAAACGGGATATTCGCATGATACCTAGCATGACTTAAATCGCTCACGGCGCGCTCGCTTGGCACCCACGGCTGACTTCGGACTCCGCTGCTGCGGACATTCACTCGCCCTAGCGCCCGGCATCAGCGAGGCCGTCGTCTGCCAGCACGATCCAGCAGGGCGGGAGGGCGGGGGGGGGGGGGGGGGATTGACTCAGCGAGTGTCCTGGTCCGTGCTGCACACTCACCGCACCCACCGCTGTAACACGGGACGGTCGCCAGGGCGCCGCTGTGGAGTGCATCACTCACCCTCCTGTCTGCTGAGCCACGGCACGCTCTCCCTGCTGCGCCGCCGGGCTGGAAACCCGTGCATCTGCAGGTACCAGGAGCGGTCCAGCCTGGAGCCGCCAACCACCGGCATCGCGGAGCCGCGGGCCACGCGGAGGCGCGCGGGAGCCGAGCGGGTCAGAGGACGGCGCGTGAAAGGTCAGCAGCCAGGCCCCCGGGGGCCCAGCAGGTCAGCGGAGGCAAAACCCGACTTACCCCCAACGGGGGCAAACAGGCGGAAGCCGACTACCCACTGCACCGCAGTACCGGCCACCACGCGCGCGCGGCCGCGCGCCTGCTGCCCGATCCCTGCACAGCCACACCGCGGCGCCACGCGCGCGGGCGACGTCCTGATCGCTGAAGACGGCCTCCGGGGGCGGCCACACCGCTGACGCCAATAATACGCCCGGCGCCGAGCGACGCGCCGGCGACGAGGCGCGTGCCGGACGCGTCTGGTCGCGCTCCTCGCCGGCGGGCGGGCCGGCAAACGCGCCGCCGCGCCCCGAAATAGGCGGCGGCCCGGGTGCGCGGCCGGCCACGAGGCTCATCCAATACCCGAGCTCGCCACCGGGACCGGCGCCCGTGCGGCGAAGACATGCAGGTGACTGATCTGCGACCGTTCCTACGATTCGAGGGAAGACGTCGCAACCGCTCGCTGGGTGCACGGTGTAATTCGGGCGAGGTTTGATGGCACCCCTGCTTAGGTGGGGGTGCCATCAAATTTTTTCGCGGGTATATCCGTGCTCGTTCAGGAAAAGGCTGTGCAAAGGCACCAGCCCGGGGCGCCCGTACAGCATATTCCAGGATTGTGAAGCAGGGTCGCGCTAGCTTCACTTAGGTTTCGACCTTCCTAGACGATTCAAAAGCCACCGGCACCGTACCATCTTTCAAATTGCATTAAGCCGCATATAATCACTGGCGTTGTTGAAAATTAGGTGCCGTTTAGGCCGTGGATTTGGACCTGGTCGGTGCAGCACTTACTCCAGCTATCATGTGCAGCGAAATAGCGCGAAGAAGAGTGGAGTGGTGTGGCGTGGTGACAAAGATGGTGAGGAATGGAATGGAATGGAAATGATGTTCACACATTTACCTGCTGATGTCAAGCGCAAAGTCTTTTGGATTTTAACTGTCTCGGCCAATAGGCCATCTCAGAGTTATGGAATGCATGGAGTGGATAGTGATGAGTCAGAACTACGCGCACTTGGAGATCGATCTACCGAAACTAAGCCCGCAAAGCTATGCTGGGTATGTGCGGGCGCTCGGACGGGGCTCCCGCCAGGGGACTCTTAGCCCAGGCATGGCTGGCGGGTGCAGCTCGCACTGGACAAACTGGACATCGCGAGGAGGCAGGGCGAAACATACATGAGGAAAGAAGGGCAGATGCTGAAGTTACAACGCGTCTAAGATTGTCAGAATTTGTCGGGCCTATCTTGTAACGAGCCCCACATCCTCCGATACAGGTACAGAAGGCGGAGAGATCACGAGATCCGGACAGCAACATGCTCAGGATATGACGGGGATCTTAAAGAACTGTTTCAGAGTACTTCATCAATATTTGTCCAGCCTTTACACGGCGATAACAACGACAATGTCTGTTGATGTTGTCGCGGGCACGCCGCTGAAGCCGGTGTACCAGGTGACCACCACATGCCTCCGATCCAGCAGGCACCAGGACTGGAGGGCGGCGGCAGAGGCTGAGTGGAGACTCACATCGCACGACAGGAGCTGAGTGGAGACTCACATTGCACGACAGGAGCTGTGTGGAGACTCACATCGCACGACAGGAGCTGGATGGAGACCCACATGGCACGACAGGAGCTGGATGGAGACTCACATCGCACGGAAGGAGCTGGATGGAGACTCACATCGCACGACAGGAGCTGGATGGAGACTCACATCGCACGACGTCCGGCGGCAGCTCCTCGGGCTGGGACTCGCGGATGATCAGCTCGTGACGCCGCAGCCGGGGAGCTGCAACAGACGGACACCGTCAACTTCAGCCCGCAGGTCGACGGCCCAGCTCCGGCGCGGCTCAGGCAGGCGGCCAGGACTGGTGCCGCCCTCACTCAGTCACGTCCGACAGATGGCGGTGGAGTGCAGGCCGCGGACGATGAGCCGTTCACGACCTGGTGTCATCAGGGAGAGCTTATGCTACGGTGGGTGTGTAGTTTACTTTGTTGCAGGGCTGCTGTCATCCCATCAGCACTCAACCCAGGCTGCTGCAAGACGAACGCATTCCTCGTCATTCTAGGGCAAAACTCCGAGAGCGAACACTATTTCGACCAAGGATTCGGCCTCCAAATGTTTAAAGGCGTGCAGCTCCACAATCATTAGGAAAATATGCAGTTTTGAACCAGTGCGGCATACAAAGAGCCGGGATGATAAAACGCCTGCCAAATACAGACGGTAGAAATCTACCTGTACAGAGCCTGTTGCATTGCAAAAGAAAACGTTTGACACCAAAACTCTCAGGATTATGTCCATGCAGGAAAACAATCTAAAGGGCATGGTTTGCTGATTGTCATAGCTGAACTGTAAATCTAGACTCAATGCATTTGTATAGTTCCTAGACCGAGACAGCAAGAAACGTTGGTGTGCAAATAAGTTGCTGGAAATTTTTGAAATCTTTGATTTTACTCGAGTTTGAAATCTTTGATTTTACTCGAGAATCGAGTTTGATTTTACTAAAAAAAAAACAACAATTAATGGTAAGTCATCCAGCAAAAAAATGGTCAAGGTGACTGAAAATATCTGGGTGAGTAACCTTAACATTCATCAATTTCACAAAACCTGTCAAACCTTGACCTCCACAAGGGTGTATGTGCACAAGTGATGTCAAATAATTAGGGTAGGGATCAGAGTAAAACGATAGTAATAGCCTTGTTCCTCGGAGAAAAATCAGGATAATGAATATATAGATGCGTTAATATTCTGGCAAAATGCCTTTATCGAGACGAATAGCAGAAGTCCTTCCTTAGAAGCCTAGTCACTTCTGCTATTCATTTTGGTAAAGGTATGTTGCCGAAATATCAACGTATCTAAATCTCCATTCCCCTGGTTTTCTCCGAGGAATAAAGCTATTACCACTGTCTTATCCATGTGAATAATGTTCCTCGCAAATGCACTTCACAACTCACGTAAGCGGCTTCCGTTGGGAAGCTTGAGCTCACGTGAAAGGGCACATTCTCCAGCCTTAAATTACGTTTCGGACGGAAGTCACTGCCTGCAACATCACCAGCTGCGTTTCGATGGCGGAAGAGGTGGGAGGTCGGGTGGAAGGGAGAAGGGAGAATTATATACTCGTCTCTAACCGTTAAAAAAATCCGATTGTGCCCAGGAATATCTGCAGCAATGCAAGTAATTTAAGCGACAGATGGCCCGTCTGTGACGACCGATGACACGTTCAACTTGGAAAGTCCAGCACAGCTGCACTGATGCCCGACAGTCAAGGACATCATAACTCTCGCTGGCTGATGGGCTGGAGCCCATCGCCCGCGAAGCGTTTCTGAGAATGACAAATGGTAACGCCATGACATATTGCATAGATGAGCCAAGCATTGTACGTGTTTTGAAAATGGTTTCAGACCATATCAGAGCGCTAGGTTATGATGGCTCTTTGATAGCTTGCGTGACCATTTTCTAAAGTTGTGCGTCAATGGCGACAAAGGGCACCAGTAAGACGGTGTCGATACAAAATGGTAGTTTACCAAAAAAGATCTTGCTTTGTGGATAATTGTTTAGTAGGTTAGTAGCTTAGCAGTGAGTAGATCACCTTCACAAGCTAAAACAAAATATTTCATTATGTGCTCGTTTGGCTCCACGATGTTCTCATGTTTTGCGTTTATTTGTTCTAGGTTTGTTTTGATGTTTCTTCTTGCGTTTAGTTCGCTCTAGGACATGCTTTTGTGCTGATTTGACTTGTAGAGCACCATTTAATAATTCAGAAAAAAATGATCGGGTTACGATGAAGATAATTGGCATTCACGGCAGTAAAAGTGCGCTTTTATACACTACGGAAGGATGTAAGTAAATATGGCAATACGTGTAGCAGCGCTCTCAATATGCAGTACTGCGGCAGCGTGGTCATCTCGTTACGGCTAGCAAAGCTGAGTGAAACACCATTAAGATACCAGTATTCGCAATGGTCTGTTCCGGTTGGGTAATTATTCAGGAAGTGCAATAAGCGATTGCGATAATAATAAAAAACATGCACTTAGAGTCGTACTAAGATATTCAAGAAGATGTTTTACCTAAACACCTCATGCCCGATTAACCTGTGCCGGCATAACGGGGATGTGCAGTGAGAAAATTATGCGAAAACAATGAGACGGGAAAGGGGTATGCGGATGACGGTTTTGGACCTCAGAATGATGCTTGACCGTATCCAAACCGGTGTACCAGTTCAGTGCAGTCTCGAAAGCATCATCACAAAACACGTAGAGTATGTATTATACCTGGATTGTGGTACTTCCAATTTCTCACATTTGCAGCGGTGGGAACGCGTCCTCTCCTCAGTGGAAAGTCATCTAAAGCGTACACACGACATTCTCCTGCAGCCCCGGTCCGTCATACTTACCTCTCTCATCCTTGTTCTCCACAGCCTTGGGCTTGAAGAGCATCTTGTGATGCACCTGGCAGTAGAGCTGACGCTCATGGCTGGCATACGTATCAACGCTGAAACAGTGCAAATATGAGGTCTTAGTAACACGGAAACGGAACAAAATCATGTAACAGACAGGGGACTTCCTTTCTTTAGACGCCATATGGGCATCCCTTGATGATGAATGCTACCAACAACATGAACTGAATACGGATTACGAACGCGAAGTAAATCAATGTAGTTATGTTTTCAGATAGTACGCCCAGCTGACGCTGTTTGGTCTTGGTACATTTGGTTCCCTCGTGATCGCTTCATGTAACTTGTTATGAGGTGTTCGTAGCGCAACTGCATGTAGAAATTTGATTGACAAGCAATTGTCCTTACTTCTGAAGCAACTTCATGGCATGATATAAATACGAATCGAGAGCAGCTTTGGGTCCATTATAAATGTCTTCCTGCGACGATTGCGTTCACGACTTACTGATATCGTTTAGTCTAAGTGAATGTTCGCAGTGACATACACTGAATACTCTGAATTTGTCGATGTCATGTTCTTTATGCGTGAATTTGTCGATAGCGGTATATTGTATGCATTATTTTTTGATTCGCAATTAAGTGATGACGAATGCTACCACTCATCCTCGCTTCCCAGCATGGCTGATTGCATAACGTTGAATCCGAATAGCT